AAAAAAAAAAAAAAAGAATAATGTTGCTATGAATATTCTTACAGATGTCTTTTGAGAGCACATATGTATTTCTGTTGGAAATTCAATTCCATCTACTAGTAGAATTTCTAGGTAGCAGTTCATGAATATGTTCAGTAGATATTTACATGTTTAGTAGATGCAATCAGACAATTTTCCAAAGTTATTTAACCAGTTTATAGTCCCACTAGGGATAAATGAGAATCCACCTATTTAACATCCCTAATAGTACTTTGTGTTGTTGATCTTTTAAATATTAGTCATTTGGCAAGTATATAGTACTTTCGCTAGAACTTTACACTTATCTGAAGACTTATTAGTTGAGCCTCTTTTCAGATTTTTTTTTTTTTGCCACCAGGATGTCCTCTTTTGTGAAGTACCTGTTGAAGCTCCTGTTACTGTTTATTGCCTTTTTACTATCTTAATGATATCTTCAATGTATAGAAGTTCTTCATTAATTAGTCTTTTACTTTATGGATAATGTTCTTCCTGGCCTAAGAAATCTTTCCCTACCTCAAGGTCATGAAAATATTTTCCTATCTTCTAGAAGCTTTATTGTTTTAATCTTTTACATATAGATCTACAGACCAATGGGAATTGATTTCTGTGAATGGTGTAAGATAGGGGGTCAAGATTAACTTTTTTCTAGCACCTTTTATTGAAAATACATCTTGTATCCACTGCTCTTAAGTGCTATCTTTATCTTAAATCAAGTATCCATATATGTTGGGCTGTCTCTATATTTCCTATTTTGCTTCATTGGTCTGTTTGTCCATCTTTTTTTTTTTTTTTTTTTTAAGGCTGGTCGAGTGAAGCAGTGGGAGTGGAGAAGGAACAAAGGAATCTGTAACTGGTTGTGATCAGTTAGCTGTAAACACCACTGCACTCGGACCAACCTGTTTGTCCATCCTTATGCCAATCTCATACTGTCTTAATTACTGTAGCTTTATAAAAAGTCTTGATGTTCTGTAGTACTATTCTGTAAGACTATCTTGACTCCTTTTGGCTTTCTGCATTTTTATATAACTCTTAGAATTATCTTTTCAATTTCCATAGACATTTTGCTGGGATTTTAATTAGGATTTCGTTGACTTTATAAATCAATTTCAGGAGAATTTACAGTTTTAGACTATTGAGTATTCTAATCTAAGAACATGAAATATCTATATATTTAGATCTTTAATGATCTTCAATATGGTTTAAGTATTTCATGGAGAGGTCTTATACATCTTCAGTTAGATTATTCCCAAGTATTTAATGATTTTTAGTGCTACCATAAAAGTAGTAATACCAAAATAGCATCACTTTTTAAAATTTCATTTTGTAATGATTTTTTGTATATATATGACTAATTATCATATAAAGACATTGTACCAGTGACTTTACCAAGTTCACTTATTAATTTTAAAAGTTTATCTGTATATTCTTTCAGATTTTCTACATGTACATTCAGGTTTTATTTCTTTCTTTTCAATCTTTATATCTTTTATTATTTATTTTTATAGCCTTTCCGCACTGCCTAGGACCTCTATTACAACACTGAATAGGAGTGGTGATAGTGGGCATCCTTCTCTTGCTCTGATCTCAGAGGAAAAGCTTTCAATATTTTATTTATTTTTAAAATGAGTAATTTCTGCTGTACGATTTTTTTTTTTTTTTTTTT